TAATATTTTCCTCCCTGTCTCCTCAGACTGAGTGGCTGTAACCTCTCAGAGAGAAGCTGTGAAGCTCTGTCCTCAGTTCTCAGCTCCCAGTCCTCCAGTCTCAGAGAACTGGACCTGAGTAACAATGACCTGCAGGATTCAGGAGTGAAGCTTCTCTCTGCTGGACTGAAGAGTCCAAACTGCAACCTGGTGACTCTCAGGTAAAATGTGACCAATCCTGGTGATTTCTATCCACTAGCTGCTAGCAGAGATTGACAAAAGTATTTGACCTCCATCCAAATGATGGGAATCAGGTGTTCCAGTAACTTCCATGGCCACAGGTTTATGAAAGTAGCACCAAGGCATGTAGACCGTTTTTACAAACATTTGTAAAATAATGTCTTGCTCTCAGGAACTCAGTGGATTCCAGCCTGGAACTGTGATAGGATGAGCAACAAGTGGCTTCCTGTCACTAACAAGTTTCTACACATAAACGTTGCTGGTTTTCATTCCCTCCATGCTGACAGAACCAAGAACAGAGGTGTTTAGAAAGGCAGTGGTCAGACTTCATTGATAGTGTAACTCTGGATACTTGACAGATTGCTGCATCCTCGGCGCACAAATGAGCTTTATTGCAGATCCTTCCTCCCAGCAGTTGTTAGACTTTCTAACCAGAACTGCTCCCAATAGGGCTGCACCGATTGCAGTTTTCTGGCCGATCACGGATTACCAATCTTTTAAAAAGCCTAATTTATCGATTCTGATTTTGGCCAATACCATGTTTTTGTCTGAAATGTTGCTCCATATATAAAGAAAGTTACCGAATTGGCAACATTGGGGCGACCATTGTTAACTGTAAATGTGCAGACATGAGCTGGTCAGCCGGTTTGTCAGTCAAACTTTTCTCACGGGAGAAAAAAAGCACAGTAGTTTATTTTTAGACTTTTGCCAAGGTTGATAACATCGGTGGATAAGATCAGCTTCACATGTAAAAATCAGCCGATTACTGATCTCCTAAAATTAAGGATATCGGCATCGATAAATCGGTGCACCCCTAGCT